TAAGCTTTCGTGGGCTACAACCCACTTCTTCGGATGCATATGGGTTGTAGCCCACGAAAGCTTATGCTCTAATAAATTTGTTAGTCTCTAAGGTGCCACAAGTACTCCTGTTCTTTTTGAGGATACAGACTAACACGGCTGCTACCCTGAAACCTGTCAATATAGATGAAGTTTATGTTTAACTGGTTAAGTGTGATACTGTGCTTCAAAAAGGGCTAGCAGAATATTTAGATATATTAACTAGCAAATACTTAGCAGGAGCACGGTTGTGGCATCACCTCTATAAATGACATCGGTAAGGCCATTACTGGATAGTGTGTCCAGTTCAGGTTTTCACACTTCTAAAAGGATATTGTATATTGTGAAAAAGTGCAGAGAGCTCAGAGAAGAACTATAGGTACGGTTCGAAGTTGGGAAAACATGCCTTACAGCAAGAGGCTAGAGGGGTTAAATCTATTTCGCTTATTAAAGAGAAGAGGTGATTTAATGATGAGTTGTAAGTACCTACAAAAGAAGACTTTCTGCTATTAGAGGACTCTGTAGTTTAGCAGACAGGCAGAACAAGATCCAATGGCTGGAAGTTGAATCAGTGAAGGTCAAATTGTAAATAAGACAAATTTAACAGCAAGGGTGATTAATCATTGGAACAGAGTACCAAGGGATGTAGTAAATTCTCCGTCATTTGAAGTCTAAGTCAAGACTGCATGTTTTTCTAAAATGTATGCTGTGGTTCAACCACAAATTGTTGGGTTAGAAGTAGGAATCACTGGGTAGAATTCTAGGGCCTGCTTCAGAAGGTCAGATTGGATGGTCAGACCCTTCTAGCCTTCATCTATGAATCTGCCTGAGATGGGATTGTGGCTACTACCAGTATTACTGGCCACTGATCTCATGTTGGGGAGCATGAGTTTAAGCTTAATCCCACTGCCGTCTGGTGCATTATCCTCTGTGGGATAGAGACAGGTCAAAGCTATCTGATATGTGGAAAGGTATTCCCTCACTTAGTCCTGACAGGAATTAGGGAGGTCCTAGGGTTCTCAGAGTGTCTGTCCTCTGGTGGTATTGTTCTAATGTGTTTCCTGATCCCTACATTTATAGCAATCTTGGTCTGGTTGCCCAATCCTCTGATGTGCCCCAGAAGAGGCACATGTGACACAGCTGGTCATCAGCATAAGTGCTTCATTAGTTGTGCAGTGATAATATTTGTATGCACTAAATCACGTTAGATGCCTGTGACAGTCCCTCAGACCTGAGAAACTCACTAGACCGAACACAGGTCTTGTAGGGTATTTGTTCATAAGAGGCAACATGTAAGGTATCTACATAAAGCTCTTAACTTATCAAGACTCATTATCAGTGTTCCCACCTAATTTTTCCCACACATGTGTAGAATGAATTTTGTTATGTGCACCAATATGGAGGTGGTGTGACACATCACCTTCATATTGGTGCACATAACAAAATTAATGTGGTGGGGCCGAGGGGTTCGGCGTGTGGGAGGGGGCTCAGGGCTGGGGCAGAGGGTTAGGGTGCAGGGGTGTGAGGGCTCCGGCTGGGGGTGTGTGCTCTGGGGTGGGGCCAGGGATGAGGGGCTCAGGGCTGGGGCAGAGAGTTGGGGGGCAGGGGTATGAGGACTCCGGCTGGGGTGCAGGCTCCGGGGTGGCGCCGTGGATGAGGGGTTTGGGGCGCAGGAGGGTGCTCCGGGGCTATGGTGGGAAGAGAGGACTCCCCACAGCTCTCTCTCCCCGCAGCTCTCTCTCCCCGCAGCAGCACCTGGGGCAGGGGGCGGGGAGGCGCCTCTCCCCGCCATGGCAGCTCTGGGGCTGGGGCCACAGGATAGGCGCCTGGCCCCTGCAGGTCCGGCCGGGGCTCGGTTCAGGGTGGGGTGCCTCGGCTGCAACAGGTCTGGGCTGGGGTTGGGTTTGGGAAAGTGCACCCCGTGACAGGGCTGGGCTGGGCCGGACCGCTGCGGCTGTGTCCAGGCCGGGCCGCCCGGGGGTCTTTTTCTAACTAACTATAGATGGGAATCATATACGGGTATTGAAAGAGACTTGCAGAAGCAAGGATAGGGCGCTCCAATAACTATCACAGGAGGTAGGAAGAAACTGAGGAGGGCCTGGGGCAGCTCGGCCCTTTATACCTGTGCGATGTGCAACAGCACAGGGTGCTCAGGCTGTCCCAACAGATACTGCTAAGGGTAAAAACTCTCTGCCAACTGTGCACTCCAGTGCACAAACACCTACAGTGGAATGGACATGTGCAATCACTCAAAGAAGAACCTACTTAATAGGTACCTTTCCTAACTCATAAATAAGTGTAGCCCCTAGTTCATGTTTTACGTTTGTTTAATTGTTTCTATCACACTCTTGTTTATAGCTGAATCTCTATTCCTTCTTAAATAAAGAACATAAGAATGGCCCTACTGGGTCAGACCAAAGGTCCATCTAGCCCAGTATCCTGTCTTCTGACAGTGCCCAATGCCAGGTGCCCCGAGGGAATGAACAGAACAGGGAATCATCAAGTGATCCATCCCCTGTCGCTCATTCCCAGCTTCTGACAAACAGAGGCTAGGGACACCATCCCTGCCCATCCTGGCTAATAGCCATCGATGGACCTAACCTCCATGAATTTATCTAGTTCTTTTTTTAACCTTGTTATGGTCTTGGCCTTCACAACATCCTCTGGCAAGGAGTTCCACCTTTTTCTTGTTTTATTACAAGTGCTGTGTGGTAGACAGGAGCAGTGATTTAAGGTAAAATTAGTAAGCTACTCCTTCGGGAGCAGAAGATCTGGGATTTCTATGAGTAGCCTCTGGCAGGGGCTGGTTATCAGAGGGGGATGTTTCTAGAGGACTTGGGGACTGGCGTGCCCCTCTTGTCAACCTGCAAGATGAAGCCAGGGCTGGCATAGCCAGGGGAGAACGCGTGAGTGGCTGAAAGTTAACACCCAGTTACCACAAGCAAGACTCCCTCAGGCTAGAGGCAGGGGGGTAACAGTGACTCACAGTCCTGGGCACCCCGACAACCATCACAACACCACTAATTAGCTGCTACAGTCTTTCTGGCTGAAAACAGATCCTTCATTTCTCAGGGTATTAGTGTTGAGCAGCATCTAAACAAACACTTGGCCTTATTTCTAATTCTTCAGAGCTGCAATAACAGCACTTACTGGCAAGGAGAAAAGAATAATTCAGATACAATCCTATTCCATATCATAAGCCAAAACCGGGCCTTGTGAACCTACCGTAAGTGAGTGAGTGAGTCCCACTGAAGCAATAATTAGAAGCAGCACTGTAGTCCACTTCCTGTAACTGGGAAGATGACCCCTGGCTCTCCTCCTGCCCCTTGGCTTGCTGCTGCTTCAACAGTCCGGAATTTGACAAAACAAAAACGGTTGAAAAATCAAAACATGTTAAGAGAAATTAAATATTTTCCTACAGTCTGATCCAACGTCCACCAAAGCCAATAGGTTTCAGAGGAGTAGCCGTGTTAGTCTGTATCAGCAAAAACAACGAGGAGTACTTGGGCATAAGCTTAATTCCAGGTCTGCAGTTTCTCGTTGGAGTCTGTTTTTGAAGAAGAATGGCCACTTTTAAGTCTGGAATTAATTTGCGAACTCGACACCATCAAATTAGGCCTGAATAAAGACGGAGTGGCTGGGGCACTACAAAAAGTAATTTTCCCTCTGTTGATACTCACTCCTTCTTGTCAACCGTTAGGAATGGGCCACATCCATTTTGACTGAATTGGCCTCGTTAGCACTGACCCACCACTTGGTAAGGCAACTCCCATCTTTTCATGTGCTGTATATTTATACCTGCCTATTGTATATTCCACTCCACGCATCTGATGACGTAAGTTCTAGCCCACAAAAGCTTATGCCCAAATAAATTTGTTAGTCTCTAAGGTGCCACAAAGACTCCTCGTTGTCAAAGCCAATAGGAGTTTTTCCATTGGTTTTGATGGTCATTATATCAGGCCCTTTGTGCAGTGATGAATGCAAATGGGGGCAGTGCTGCTGTGCTCTTCCCCAAAGCCAGTACACCTAGCCTTTTAAAGACTCGGCTGGAATGCGTTCTTAAAAGAAAATGGCGCTCTCAGCCATTAACAGAGTGTGCGGGAGTTCTGCCATTTCCAAATAAATACTTTAAAAAACAATAAAATACAAAAGGCACTTAAGGGACACTGGCAGATAGTTCAAAGTTTTGTCAGGAACCGGATTTAAACTGAAATATTTTCTATACGTTGTTTAAAGGATTTAATTGAAAACAGGTTTTAACTTTGGATATAAACATTTCCCCTGCAGTGTCTGCAACCTGAACACTGCAGCATTGCAAGACAGTGCGGTCTCTCAGCCTGAGCATGGGCCCTGCCCCTGATTTTCCCTATGCTTTGGGCCAGTCACAAAACCTCTCTGCCCCAGTTTCTCCTTCTGTAACAGGGTGTTAACTTGCTCAAAGGGAGGAGGTCTGGACTGATGTTTGTAGACTGCGCTGAAGATGAAAACTGATATGTAAAATGATGGCTATTACTGTCATGAGTGCACTGCTGCAAAAGAAGCAGAAAATGAAACCATCTGGCTACAAAGGTAAAAGTGACTAGTCTGTTTCACTGGTCACACTGCATGAAGCGCAAAAACTAAGCAAACCACAGACACGATAAATTATTATTTTTAATTCTTTCATTTTTAATAATTTGGAGA